CGGTAAGAGCCGTCCTAATTCGGGTTGGGCCATGAGCAACCCTAATTAAATTAGGTTGCTTCGAATGGCCCATGTGGGTTACGTGGATAGTTCCATAAATTGTGGTGTCGATATATATTCAGTCAATTGGCCAATGCCGACTGGATAAAAACAACCGAGACTTTCATCATCGCCCAGGGAGGTCGTTTGACAACAAATTGCCTAACAGGGCCCATGACTAGGTCGGGCAAAATTTTTTGATTGTCATGCAAGTAACCCGGTCAAAGATCTGGTTTGACCGGATGGGTTTGGTTGATTAGTTTGATCAGATGTTCAAAAGAATTGAAATTGGACTTTGAAAGTAACAAAATTATTACAACCATGCTACAAGTACAATTTTTTTTGACATCAAGTTTGACAATGTGCCACGTGTTGAAGGTTGAGTGGCCAATTTTTAAACACCACACACTTTCCCACCCATTCGAATTTGAATTAACATAAATTGTCAAATTCCTTGTCAACCATGGATTGTACACAAAACATTATTCAAATTATTATCTATCCAAGAATTGGACATTGGACTTCGAAAGTAACAAGATTATCACCTATCCACTAGGATCCAATAATTTATTGTCATATCTTTGTAATAATATATAAATGTATCTAGTGAATAATTTATAGTTTTTTAAAAAAATTACTGTCCTAATTTTAATTAAGATGAATTGAATATTTCAAAAAATTATCTACAAATATACAAATAATTAATGACAAATAATTTAAAAACTTTATTTTTATCTCAAAGAAAGAATTTTATAGTTAAAAAATTTTTTATATATAATTTTTAAACAACCAACAGGTCCGACCACTAATCCACCCGACCAATACCTCGATCGGGTCAATGTTCAGGTCAGATCTAATAGCTGTGGGTAAATCTGATTTTTAAAGAAAAAAAATTCACTTCATTATTGAAATGGAAAGTTAAAAACAAGTATGGTGTAATTTCTTCTGAAGTTGGCAATTGTGAGGGTGGTTGTCAATATCATTCAAATAATCGGATTGTAATTGGAAAATGGTCAAGATTTTTTCCCTTTCCAAGCAAAATTGATTTTAATCATTTAGGTGAAATATTGTAAATATTATCTTAATTTCTTTGCTTTATAGAAAGTAGTTTATAAACAACTAAAAGATTTAAGTGTCATGCCGTTTGACCATCTTTACACCTCTATCATTCAAGAAAATCATAAAGCTGCGTGAAGGCAATGAATTACTCAACAATAAAAAACCTCAATACAAGAAAGCAACCAGAATTTTGACGAAGTTCGAGATTTGAACTCATAGAACCAGCAAAGTATAGCTTTCTTTTCAATAAAAATACCTCATTAAATATTCATTTTATAATTTCAAAGCATGTTTTATTCATAGGACTAGATATGATATAGATATTTTAACTTATTCAACCGTCAATTAATAAGAGAAGGAAGATGAATTGAAAAAAATAATTGTTATTGATTTATTCTTCACACGGTTACAATGAATGTGAAACGTATATGTAGTTGTAGAATTAACCTATGTATGGAAACATCTATACATGGAAGAAAATAAACATATACAAGGAAAATAATAAAATTGATTTTGTGTGTATTGCGTAATACTCCCCCCTCAAGTTGGAGTATGGAGGTCCGTAATGCTCAACTTGGAT